AAGAGAAGAGAAGAGAAGAGAAGAGAAGAGAAGAGAAGAGAAGAGAAGAGAAGAGAAGAGAAGAGAAGAGAAGAGAAGAGAAGAGAAGAGAAGAGGGAGGGTTTTGTGCATGGAAGCTGAGAAACAAAAGCAGCTGCTGAAGAATCACCTCTAAGGGAAATTCCTGGTGGAATGTATTTAGCTCCCCATGTCAGCCACACTTTCTAAAAAGCTGAAACAACAAACTGAGCAGAAAGGTGGAGAAGTTATCACTGTTTTTAAAAAGAGGGGTGGATTGCTGCCTGACTGGCTGAGGGAGGAGCAGTTCATGGCAGGTAGCAGGGCCTGCTACAGGGAAAGTATCATGACTACACATCCTCTGAGGTGACTGCACTTCACTACTTGTCCCAARTGACGGCTAGGAGGCTTTAGCATTTCTCTTCAGCAGGAAAAAAAAAAACCCCGTAAATTGCCATTATAGTTATACTTCGGGGACTTCCTCCTTCCCCAGAGGAGGGTCAAGGCWGTATTCTTTTAAAAATTCTTGAAATGTGAGCTATATTCTTGCTGCTGGCAGGAGGGCCACACACACATGTAAGTGCAATGTTGTCCAAAGATTTCACATGTCGAAACCCTCTCGCTGCACAAGTGAAAGGGAGATGCTTGTACTGCACATTAAATCCGTAATGAGAGACGTGTGTGCGCAGAGTGGGGGGCGAATTTGAGGAAATTACAAAATATTTCTTGAGTTAAGWATGTTTATGAAACATTTCAGTCAGCACCAGTTGTACACCAGTGATTCCCAGCCATATTCAACCTTTTCCATAGCACTACACGCTGTTTCCTGGTCTCCCGTCTTGACAGTAAGCTCCACAATACTGGTGCTGCCCCTGCCTTCCTCCTCTGCTGTCAGCTGGAGAAAGTGCCAATGGAAAGGCTTAGATAATCAGCCAAGCAAAGCACATTAGTTTGGTATCTCATCTCTAATGTTGGTGCTCAAGCCAGAGAGGTTATTTTAATTGGGACCCAGTAATAGAGATAGTTTTTTTAAAAAAAAAAATCTAGAAAGTGTTAAATTTGAGATTAATGCTAGGATTGATTAAATTTAATCTGGACACAAATTTAAYTTTCAATCACTCAACAGTGGCTTCCACAACACAGAAGGGAAAAAAAAAAGCAGCCAGAGTATGGGATATGTCAATCTCAGCTATTCATTTTTAGGATATTACAGGAGGTGAATGTGTTTGGACAGTGCAAGGAAAATAATGGCCTGGTTTCAGAAGTYTTAGTTTCCCAGAGAATTACGGGTACACTTAGATTCTGGATGCCAAATCTCCCTGAACATCAGACTTATAGACTACAGAGTACATTTACATTACTCACAATATCAAATGAAAAGATCTAGAGTTCCTATTCTCTTGCTGGTTTTTTCCCCCCTTTTGCTTCATTGTAAGTGATTAAAACCAACTGACAATACCTCCTCTCCCTCCTTCTTTATTAATTCATGATGAATTCTGTTTTCTGGCTGACATCAGTACACTGTCATGGTTCAAAACTTTTCCAGTGCTTGGTTGGCTTGTTGCTTGCTTGCTGAAAAAAGTGTTTATATCAGGATTTTTGGAAAGAAACAAAATGTGATGTTATAGGGAGGGAGGAGTTGTTTTGTTTCTCCAKAACTTGAACTTTGAGATATTTACATTGTCTTATATGTGATTCTTATTAAGAAAAAATAATGCAAATTGTTCTGGCGTTTTTTTTTCTATTCATTCATTTTGTTATAATTTTGACATTGTTCTAATCTCAATAGGATATGGCGTTCCATGCACACACTGAGGTGAGATGTCTGCAGATTTGCCAGAGGGTACAATATCTTTGAGAAAACTCTTAGATGTTCCTGTGATCCATTTTTGTTTCCCCACTTGAGTTTCATGCCCTTCTCACAATCACCTGCTGCTATATGCAAATACTTTCTGTTTATTAGGTTTGACCTTRAAGTTGCCTTCTGTTAAAGCCCCTGTGCCTGAAGTACTCTAATTCTCACCTTTGCCTACAATATGATATGTTTGATTAAAGACATCAGGTATAAAACTGGTAATGGTTTTGCATGCAAAGCAAAGGAATATAGTTACTGTCAGAGACTGGTGCAAAGTTTTAAGATGTAAAATGATGATTTTTATTTACATACTATTCCCCACGTCAAAGGGAAAGTTATTCTCCATCAAAAAAAACCACCAAACCCGAAACTGCTCTTTGGCAGTTTTATCTATTAAAAGATGTTCCATCTACAGTGGTGTTTATACTAAAAAAAGCAATTTCATATATCATTAGCTTGCACTATTCATGTGTAGTCTAAGAAAATTCCCAGAGAGCCAACAAAAACTGTGGTTATGACGATTCATGACTTACTCCACTGACTTCATTCTGGCCTCCTGCACATAACAAGATAACAAGAGATCACTTAGAGAAATTATGTTCCAAATAACATCATTAGTAAATCAGTCTTTTGTTTTAGCTCATGGAAGAGTTTTGTTCCTGAAATGAAAAAAATGCAACAATGGGAAGTCCTGACTGGTTTATAACAGTGCTCTCCTTTCTGAGTATGCTCTCAAAATGCTCAAGCATTCTCACTCCCAATGGATTTGATGTTGTTTGGCACCTAAGTAAAAGCAATTTGCTTCCTGGATAGCCAAATTAATTTAGAATGCATTACCTATGCTCAGATTGTCTGCCACATGTTGAGATTGATATCCGGCCACCAGAAAATGTGGGTGTTTAGGTCTTTGGAGCTTCTCTTTCTGAAGTGTTCTTACAAGCAACTACTTTTGGTTTTGGGTTTTCAAACCACGGGTCAAATGTGCTTCATTGAATATCTATCTTCCTTTTCTTTCTTTGTTTAACAGAATGCTATCCATGTTTTWCTGTGTCCAGCTGGCACACCCGCAGCATGCTGATTTAATTTTAAAAATCACTACCCATTGTAGAAGCCAGATGTAGCTGAACAGCAAAGTTTTGCTCATTCTATGGCTCTGATGGCTGAACTGTTCCAAGGACCATTACCAAGCAGTGCAGTGAGTATTTCCAGAGCAGTGAGAGAAGGCAGGAAGTGCTGCATCTGGGATGTGCCTGAGAGTGGGATTGTGCTTTGAGAGGGTGGGCTTCTGTCATCCGGTGGCTCTAGAAATCGAGATTGTTCTTCAAATATAAATTTACTGAGGATTCACTGAGTTTGTAGCATATTCTAAGCCAGTAGCAAATTCAACAGCTTTCCAGCATCATCCCTGCCCAGTCCCAAACTTGCAGGTACAAAWTTATACCCGGGGAGCAGGTAAAAGGGCAATGGACATCTTGCTTTCAAAAGCTATAGAGCAGCCATCAATATAGTGAAGATTCCCATAAAATTATTTTGTGATTTCACACTGCAATACTATTAACTCAGAACTTGTAGCAAAAATACCATGGGAAAAGCACCATTTGCATCAGACACACCGCTGTGATCTTTGAGCATTCTTTGTGCTGTCCAAGGAATTGGAAAAGCTGGAAGCATGATTGTCAACAGGCTACAGTAAACCTGACTGCTAGATCMTTCTATTTATCCCTTACCTACCTTGCCTTTTGACAAATAGGCTTTCTGGCTATTCTTCATACTGTTGTTAGGTTGGGAAAGAAATAATAGTAAAGACAGCTGGATGCACATCATACAAATGAGGATAAGAAAAACTGACAAGGATAAAGGTAAAACAGACTCAGGTAAGACCTCCAGAGTAGAAACTTTGCTCTGACATCAAGTGACAGTCATTTGGTATCTTCCATTCAGCAAGAGCCTGTCACCTAAACAATATCCAGAAAATAATGGCTGCAAGTGAGAGCATGGGATTGATCATAAAAGCATTTTAATTTTGTTCTCAGCTTTTCTGAGTTGCTTTGGACAAGTCWCCTCCTCACTGTTTAAATCCCTCTTTTGCATTTTAATCATAAGTAAACCTCCAATGTTGCTGCCTGTCTCTGTCAAACTTACCCTTTACGTTTTGAAAATGGTTATGTTTCTTTCTTCTTTGTCTAACCAATCTCATGCCTTTGATCTTTCCTCATAGGTCCTGTTTTATAACTGCTCAATCAACCTCTTTGCCTTTCTCTGGATTCCTCCAACCAACGCACAAAAATTTGTAACTGTGTGGGTGTAACAGGGYATGTCTGCCCTACTCAGGTCTTTTCCCTCTGAGGATGGCAGAGCACTTGCTGAGGATGCTGAAGTGCCCCGACTGGGAGAAAAGGAGACTATTTTCAATACTTTCTATGGAAATCTTGATCACCTGATGTTAATAGTTAAATCATCAATTGTAAGCATTGCTGCCACCTCATTCAAGCCTTATTTRTGCAGCTACAAGCATTCTCTGTAAGCTTTCTTTTGCCTTGCTGTCATCCTAATTGGTGTCCTATACATGGCGCTTTTTTTGGAAACACATGGTAAAACTAAATTTACAAAACTATYTGGGCTATATTAGGAAATTATGAGATTGTATTATCTTGTACAGAAATAGTTCAGAGATGGACTGCTTCATCTTATTGTAGCCTCYCATGTGGCAGGAGGCTCCTGGAAATGCAAAGGAATGGATACCAGCAAAAATGCGAATTACCTGCAGTGCCCATAGCAATGCTTGGCTGCTTAAGATGCAACATGGCTTCACTTTCTCTCAACCCTGTGAGTATCACCATCCATTCTAAACATTATTGATGACTCTCTTTTACCCGACTGTTCTTTTTCTTGTATCCCCTGTACCACATTGAGCAGGCCAGGCATTGCAGTCACTGATGTTTGCTTGAGTTTCATCTTTGAGATGTTATGTGTGGTTTTGCCCCTGCCAAAAAAAAGGAAAATTTATCTGAAACTTTCTATCTTGGGATTTTCTGCTGCATTGTTTCAGGAGTAGCCAAAACTTTAATCATCTCTTAAAATAGAACTTGTGAAAAATAAACATTGTAGTACAAAAAAAATATGGTGAGTTTGGTTTTGTGGTTTATTTTTTTTCAGGTGGGCCATTTCTGGAAAAGCATATACCAGACTTGAGCCTTAGAGAAAATTGACTGCATGCTCTTGGTGGAGGCTGAACTTGTTCTGTGCTGCCTTTTTAGACTGTGTGAACTTGGAAGGTGGGTGGGTGGAAAACAGCAAACCTTTCCTCTGCTCTTAGTGAACATCCAAGCAGCACTACCCTGAATGCTGCCTGTGAGGAGACACAAGGACTGCAGGGAAGCTCCTGGTGCTGGAGAAGGGAGCAGGTCTGGCTCACTGTGGTGATTTGATCCTGGCTGAACATCAGGCGCCCTTCAATTACTCCTCTCCTCAACTGGACAGGGAAGAGAAAATATAAGGAAAGGCTCGTGGGTCCAGATAAAGACAAGGAAAGGTCACTCTCCAATTATCATCACAGACAAAACAGACTCGACTTTGGGAAATTAGTTTAATTTATTATCAATCAAATTGGAGTAGGATAAATAAAACYAAGTCATAAAACTCCTTCCCCTCTCTCACCCCTCCCTTCCATCTGGGCTCAACTTCACTCCTGACTTTCAATACCTCCTCTGCCCCAGCAACACAACGGGACAGGGATTGGGGGCTGTGCTCAGTTCATCCCTTGTTCTCTTGRGCCACTCCTTCCTACTCGGAAGGAGGACTCATCACAATCTTGCCCTGCTCCACTGTGGGGTCACTCCCATGAGGTGCAGTCCTGCATGGGCTTTTCCAGTGTGGGTCCTTCCCACAGGCTGCAGATCTTCACAAACAGCACAAACAATGTGGGTCCCTTCCAGGGGTGCATTCCTTCAGGAACAGGCTRCTCCRGCTTGGGTCCTGCATGGGGTCACACTCCTGCCAGCAAATTGCTTCAGCATCCTCACTCCAAGGGGCCACATGTCCTGCCAGGAGACTGCTCCAGGATAGGCTTCCCACAGGTTCACACCTTCTCCTGGGCATCCAGTTATTCTGTCACAGGGTCCTCCAGGGGCTGCAGGTCACTGCTCCCCCTGGACTCCGTGGGGGGTCCTTCAGGGACACAGCTGCCACACCAGGCTTGGCACCTTGGGCTGCAGGGGAATGTCTGTTCCTGTGCCTGGAACACCTCCTCCCCTCCTCCTGCACCGACCTGGATGTCTGCAGGGCTGCTCCCCTCACATATTCTCACTTCTCTCCCCGGCTCTGGCTGCTGTTTACAGTGTTTGTTTCTTTRCCCCTTCTTAAATACTTTATCCCAAAGGTGTTACCAAGGTACTGCTGGTCTTGGCCTTGGCCAGTGGCAGGTCCATCTTGGAGGCAGCTGGAATTGGCTCTGGTGGATCCAGGGGAGCTTCTGGCAGCTTCCCACAGAAGCCACCCTTGTAYCCCCCCTGCTACCAAAACCTTGCTGTGCAAACTCAATGCACTCAGCWAGCAGAGGGGGAGTCAGACCTGTTGGAAGGGATCTGGTGAAAAGATGGGCTGCAGCTAAAGCAAAGGATAGGGGCTGGATGGTAGGGAGCTCTGAGGAAGGAGAAAGAGCCGAAGGAAGATTTCATGTCTGGAGCAGAGACATAGCATTAAAAAGAGCACCAAAGTACCTTTTCCTGCTCTTGTGCCTCCCTTTCTTATTTTCTTAAATTCATCACCTGAAAACTGAATTCTGCATCAGCTGGTGTRGGTTCTGAGCAAGTGGCATCCCTGTCTTTCCTTAAACTGCTTGGGCTAATGCCCCAAACTGAGTCTGTATCCAAGTGCATTAAGGGGCATCCCACCTTCCAAGATTCACACAGTCTAAAAGGGCAGCATAGAACAAATCCAGCCTCCACGAAGAGCATGCAGTCAATTTTCTCTAAGGCTCAAGCCTGGTATATGCTTTTCCAGAAATGCTCTTAGTGTGAGCTTCTTCATAAACAACAACAAAAAACTTTCCATTGCTTTGCTGTGGCAGGTTTAGTTATAAGGTATCTGAGTGCAGAGTAGCAAAACAGCTATTTTCATGATGTATTTCTTCTTTTTTTTTTTTTCAGTCGGGATATTTTTTTATATCTATCATTCAAGTAAGATATTCTAGTCTTCAGTCCGTACTAAGAAAATCCAGAATCACATGGTATAAAGGAAATATTGCTAACTTAAGGTTTACGCTTCCAGGTTTAGCTTTACCACAAAGTTCTGTATATTCRTCTTTTTGGAGTCTACATTCTTGTTCATGTATACAATATGCAGCCTCTGCTTCATAAAAAATAAATCTTAACCAGCTGTGATGATAAGATAAACCCTGATATTTGAATTGTCTGACTTTAAAATAATGGGAGAGCACATTTTGTACTTGAGTGTAGAGGTGTGGACCAGTGGAATAATGAAGAAGTTAAATTATAGCCCAGCTTAAAAACCATCATTTGCTATTTTGACACATTATTTATGTTGGGAGAATGATTATCAGGGAATGGAGGAACTTYCTTCATCAGAAACCAATACAGTGCAATACATCCACAGCTAGACAGGGACAACAGGMGGAATTCCAGTTATGCTGCCTCAGGGGAGAGGGAATGTCACTTCAGAGAGAGCAGGGCAGAAGGACATCAGCACGCAACTATTCTAGCAGAAAATCTATACATTTCTGAGCACAGAGCCATTTGTAACTTTTAATATTGAGGCCATCAAATGCAGTGGGAAGTTAGTTGCTTTTGATGCAGCAGTCAAAGGGTCAAATTCTTTTCCCTGCTGCTCCAGCGCAGYTCTGTGGCAGTCTGCTGGGCTCCGCCAGTGAAACTGAAGAGGAGGATTTGGCTCACAGCCCAGTTTTAATCTGCACGTATGGTATCAATTTTGGAAGCATTTTCTGGTTGTCCTCACAGTTATAAAAGGGTAGAAAAATCTATTTCTTCCCCTCCCCAGTTAAAAAACAGGCTTTTGTTAACTTGTTTGTGTTAATTCTCTACCTGAAAAACGTAATACTTAACAYTGTCTTCAGTTTTGCCATAGGATTGTCCTGTCTATTAAAACGTACCTCTGCTGTCTATCCTAAGGGAAAGGCTGCTCTGCAAAGCCAGCTTGCCCCAGCAGATTCCAGTTCTCTCCCGCACACACAGCTGATGCTGAGTCCATCAGGACACYGATCTATGGATCTCCCTTCTCACCATAGGCATTAGAGTCTCCCGCCCATCAGTCACCTTCATCCATTGTTTTTTTAGCATATTTGCTCAGAGATGAGGAGTTTTGTGGTGTGTGGGATGTTGGCARCAACTGTGTACATTTTCGAGTGGCTGCTGAAAAGGGAATGGCTCCTCATGCTCCCCAAAATCTTCGGCTCTTTTGATGAGAGCAGGAGCCATCAGCCATTGATGAGTGTCTGGCCCCACTAACGAGCACTGACCCTCTCAAAGCTCCATCCCAAGCACTGTCATAACTTTCTTAATTGCTGTTTGACTATAATGTTTTTCTGCATATTCCTTGATTTTGGTCCCTTCAATGTTTTATGTCAACCCGTTCTTTTTGGGACAGACACTGTTTCCTCCTACTTCTGAAAAAGACCAGAACCTCTCCTCAGAGCAGTTTCCCCATGTAATTGCAGAGAGCATTCATGTTTTCTTCAGAATCTGAGGAAATTTACCTTTGAGAGGCAATGAAACCTTTACAGTACATTTTGCCTTTTTTTTTTTTTTTGCTGCTTTCTCAGTCAATTCCTGACTTTCCTTCCCTCACAATTGCTTCTTCCTTTATGTGTCTTTCCACCTTCTTTTTGCACTCCCCTCTTTTTTTTTACCTCTTTCATGTACCTTGACACTCAACATCCAAAATTAAAATTCTCATGTACTACTTCTTGGCTCTTTTAATAGGCCTAAAAGTCTTCCTTAGCATAAAGTGCTTCAATAAATATCAAAAGATACTAATGTAAGAGGCAACTGAACAACAATGGCAGGCTGCATGTGATAAACTTAGTTATGCTACTRGGAAATGAAATTATTGGAAAACAGGGGAGGTGAGAAAATTGAAGCAGGGAGATGAGTCAAGGTTGTTGGGGCAGCCCTATCTTATATGAGACAGTCAGTAAAAATGAGACCTGGAATTTCTGCCAACAGCTGCCTGTGTGTGCCAGTACTGTTTTTGAAGGTTAACAAATCATTGGAAGTTCTCATTATTTCCAGCAAATTGGAACTGYAATTGCTTCTAGCAATTTCCCTAGACTCCTTGACCTGTAATATCAGTAGCTCATAATGATTAAAATGGGAAGCAAAGCAGAGAGTTCATCATGCTTTCTGGAGCACAGCACTGCTTTGGTATTTCAAACAGAATACATATCATCTGTGTCGTGCTGGTTTAGATCTATCTCTTATGCACGACAGATCTCTATTTACCTGCTGAAATAACTGAAATTACCTTCCAACATGCTCGTCAAGAAAACAAGCTTTAATKCCTGCAGGCTCCTATGGCTGTATCTGTTAATCAAAAACTGAGAATATCTGTAAGAGGTTTTCTGTTAGTAAGATGAAAATTGTTGGATATCTAAAATTGTTAGCTGATTGTGATTATCATGGCCTTATCTTAATTTGGCTGTTTTCCATGTTGGAGGTGAGAAGTGTCCTGTTTTGGAAATATATTCCCAATATTCAAAGTGACTTTGGAAACAACCCACGTTCTTCACTTTTTACCTCCAACATCAGTCTTTTTAATGATAAATCAGTCATTCAGCTGAAAGGACACAGGTTTCTGAGCTTATCCGATTTATTCTGGCTACCTACTGCCAATCACTACGATAGTTCCAGTTCAAACTGGTGATTTACTCTATGTAGGAGTTTGACCATGACTGTAAGAATGAGTCTGTTTCCATCATTCTCATGTTTGATTTTGCGTAGGGTTAGGGTTGGGGTTAAGGTTAGGGTGGGAAATCTTAGCTAATCAGGCCTTTGAACCCAAGCATGCCAGATGCCTCGTGTGTCTGGGGTTTATCAGTGCACCATGAGACACGCTCTGGCCATTGTGAGCATCACAAACTTACATCTGTGTGGCCTAACTGATAAAAATTCTGAGCAACCCTGGAACAGGTTTATGACATGTCCAGAACCTCAGACTGTGATGTACTGCACAACACACTGTCAGTTTTTAAACACAGTTTTAAAAATTTGCTGAGTCTCTGCATAACTCTTACACTGCTAGTGGGTTAAACAAGGCTACTGAAAAGGTTTTTCTGAGTTTTAAMGATTTTTATGCAAGGGGTATTATGACAGTGTATTTTGAATTTTATCCTGCAAAGAAAGAGTTTCAAAGCCAATTAAAATGTAAAGAAATCCATAGAAAATAAATGTAGGTAATGCCTTCACGCATTCAGGACTAGATCAATCAGGCAACATCATTATTAGATTGGATTTGTCCAATGAAAGTTATACCTCTGTACTGTATGCTTTGACCTCTTTTTCTCTCTCCCTGTTGAACAGTTTACCAAAAAGCACACAACTGTGCTAAACAGATACATTTGTTTGGTTGTACCAAGTTTTTGTTCCAGCAATGGAATTCATTAAAACAGCATGTTCTGTATATTGCCAGCAGGTCATCAGTGCATGCTTGAGTCAGATTCCTGACCTTTACTTTCACTTGCCAAGTCTGCTAGATTGGCTGGTTCTGGGGACTCTTAAATACATGTCATTAATGATATACCTCACCCTGTTTTTCTTATAGCTGATAAAATCTGCACAGGTGCACTCACCGGTTTTCTCTGGTAATTATCAATCAGTTTATTTTGTATAGAGTCAGATGTTTAACTGTAAATARTTGCTGAACAGTGTGAAATAGAAATATTTTTCTCTCACCTAAAGAAAATGTACATTAAATTTGAAACATATTTAGGATTTGAGGTAAACTTTTTCCTTCAGTGGGGTGGTTGGAGRTCATCTCAAGCAGCTATTCAACAATATATTCCTAGTGAATTATGTGGACTYGTTATTTTCTAATCTGATATTCTATAACTGAGGTTAAATTTTCTATGGCATTACCCCATCAATATCTCTAATAAAATGTGCCCCTACACTCTACTCGAGTAGGGAAATGATAATCAATCCATAGAGGTCCAGCTCAGCACATCCCCAACTTCTGTATTTTAGCGCTGTATTTTGCACCTCATTTCCATTTTGGCATATAAGCACCTCAGTCCATACAAGTTTAAATGTCAGGACAACTCCTACATTAATTTTGCTATCTGGAGTCAAGAAATTATGCCCTTGCCTCCCTAGTTTTATAGATGTTCTAGAATGTTCTCAATGCAGTTGATTTGTCTCAGACCTATCATCCTGGGAACAAAGGAGGGAAATTTTTTTGTTTCCAAGTTGAAAATATTTTGCAGTTGATCAGAATCTGTGAGGAGACTATGTGTCTATATGTAAGACCTCACTATGTTCTTCTCTTCCCTTTTCACAGGAAAACGTCAAGAGACAAACTTTCTCCMGAGAAATTTTGCACAGGAGCCGTGAATATATGCAAGGGCCCAATGGTGAAATGCCAGGATCTGTGCCAGTGTGCCAACTCCACTGTTATTATGGTCAGCAGGCTTTTACAGCACCAGGATCCGCAGCAACGTAAATACACACCAGACTCCCCTGAATGGAAGTGTGGTATTGATTTTGGTGTACTCTATTGCACTCTAACAGATCTTAATGACAGGCTGTTACTTCAAACAGCATGACAAAAACTTACTAAAATAATCAATTTTTCCTCAGCAATTAAAGGCAAAGCAAAATTGAGATCTCAAACAGCCTCTGATGAGAACTTCTCTTAATGTTCCTTTTCATCTCTARTGCTGATGCTCCAAAGTAAAACATCTAGGTAAAAATAAAAGCATGTTAATACAGAATGTTAGGCAAAAATATGTCTATAAGAGTGAARCTATACAATTTAGAGTGTCTAGCTTTTTCTGGCATTTGTTATAGCCCASTGAATGCAGTTTATTTCAATGTGATTTCAAAAGCAGATAAGCAAGTATGCGCATTACAGGAATCATTCAAAAAAGATGGTTTGAGTTTGAGATGAATCAYTTCACAAATTCTTCAAGAGTGAAGAAAACCACTTGATAATTTAAGTTCTACCTTAATAAGAATCTATGACATTGGYATTTCTTAGAGATATCTCTTTTTCCTTTTCATGAAAAAGAAACACCTAAAATACAACTGAGATCTATCCTTCATTAAGATGGTTCTGTGTCCTTGAGATCTGCRGCAGAATCATAGAATAATAGTTTGTTTTGGCTTGGAAGRGACCTGTAAAGGTCATTTAATCAACCCCCATGCAATGARCAGGGACATCTTCAACTTGATCAAGCTGTTCAGAGCCCTGTCCAACTTGGCCTTGAGTGTTTGCAGGGTGGTTAAAGTTGAGATGCAGTTCTGCAGTGCTTCTTCACTCTCCTGTGTAGCWCATAAAGACATGGACACTTGCTTTCACCAAAGAGAATCATTTATTGCAGCCACACATGGGCTTTTATACTGCAAAGTGATTAATTAATATGCACGTCAGGGAGTGGCAGACCATGTAACAATTCAGTCTCTTGCCTGTGCAAGGTTATTGAATTTGCCTAGACATGATTAATGGTGCTAGTTACTTCATTGAAGGTAATTGAAGGAGAATCTGGTGTTACAGTTTTCAAGATCTACAGAAATGCAGTCTAAATTAAAGCAATTTCAACTGCAAGTAATTTTCAAATAAAAAMCAAAATGTATGTATATTTATCTGTATGCAGAATTATTTGTTTTTTTTTCTTTACTATTAGGTCAAGTAACTAATCCTGCAGGGCTTTGAAATTAAATGAAGGGAACAACTTCATAAAAGTTCCAGGGGTGCAATAACTTCACATGAGTGCTGGGCTCCAGATGCGTGCGGAGCTCCAGAAGAAACCACTCACATGGATTGCTTGGAATGGCAAATATGGGCYGTGTGGCCACCTGAGCCAAGGAGAGCAGCGTGCTCTACAGCTGTACAGCCCTCTCAGAGGTCATGTCCGTGCACGTGCTCTGGCTGTGCAGAGTGAAATCTGCTGTGACAGAGGCTCTATCAGTCTGCTGAGACTTGTGTTCCTCACATGTTGTTGGTGATGAGCCATCCATACCCCTCGAGCTAATTGTACAGCGCAATACTGTAGTCATGGTGGTCAGATTTCTATTAAAAGTACCGTGTAAAAGAGCCAAGAAATGTGAAACAGATGAAAAAGTTGTAAAACAAAGATGAGATATAATGGCTGATCTCATGATAACTTTAGAAGTTGTCAGTGCTGTACAGTGAAGTGTGAGTCTGTGGTTTTAGGAGAAAACATAAATGCAGAACAGGTTTTTCGGTTTTTCCCTATTTGGCCAATGAAAACTTGACCAGGGTGTAAGCATTTCATCTTACTGACCCACTGCCTTCMCTCATTTTGGAAAAGAGTTGAGACTTGGATATTTTGGCAAATGGCTTTGTAACCCAACACATCCATCTAATTTAGCATGGACTGTTGCACCCCTCATGGCAATGTAGTCCCTGTTCTGCACTGTTGCAGGCCCCTGCTCTGTCTTGACTTGGGCTGCGTTTCGTGCTTTGGACACACCCTGTTCCTGCTGCCCCTGGGTCAACATTTTCTGTGCAGTATTCGTGTCAGTGGGCTGCATGATGGTGACATTTGTTCTGCCAGTCTCTCCTGTGATCAGCCAGTCTCTCCTTGCTCCTAAGGAAGGGGACAATGGCACTTTGCCTAAGAGGGTAAGGGACAGAGAGTGGTTTCAGCCTCTCTGTCTTCCTCTATGTAGCCACGGGGCAGAAAGAGGATTCTAAATATTTCAAGGTTCTTTGGGAGAGCTGTAGGCCTCAAATTTTTCTCTGCACATGCAAGAAGAGAACATACACCTAAAATGTGTGATGGTAAATAATTTAACTCACCATGTTAATGCCATTTATTCCTAGCATTTTAATTTCCCCCTTCTCCTTTTACCTTATYCTTATCTCTCCCCCTGCAAACTGTGAACTACACAAGCAGCTACTTCAGAACTTTGACTTTGTCATATTATTGTGTCACACCTGAAAATGTAGCTTCTCYCAAAGTATCATTGCCTTAGTTCCCGTGGCAAAGTGATTAAAGCCTCATTAGGTCAAATAATCTATTCAAGATATCTGCCTGCTACTTTGAATGAACCAAGAGCAGTTATCACAAAATACTCTGCAACAGATTTGATTGTCTTAAAAGTGGCATTGTAGTGTCCAAAACAACAAAATCAGTTGTCAGGAGGKACATCTTAAAATGTGAGGACTACTAATCAAAATAAAATAAAATGGTTAACAAAATATGATTTTGGAAGAGTATGACTTTCTGTAGTGGTTTTTCCCAGCTCTCYCTTTTCTTGTAATGTAAGGCATAACAAGAAATAAATATCCTAAAGCATAGGCCCATCTACAGCCTCGAAAAAAGCAACTAATGTGAAGCAACAGTAACCCCAGCTCTGGGGGGTTTCTGTGTTGTTTAAAGCCCTACATAAATCAAGAGGAGGCCCACAAAGGGAAGACTGTTTGGTTTCAGGGACTGGTCTTGATTTTCTGCTTAGGATAATCAAGATCAGGAATCCATCTCTAATTAAAGGCAAGCAGAAAATATGCAGGATTTTCACATACATTCTTTTCATACTCATAGTTTAACGTGTTATGTATACAGTATTCTTTTCCTTTAATTCAGCTTTCTCAAATTATGTGCAGACAGCTTCAGCAGCAGGGAAAGGTGGGAGTATTTAAGATATGTAGAATTTAACTCTTTCCCTTCTACTGCAGAAAGACCTGTTTCTTTATCAGATATATTCATTAGAAATGTGGTTTCTATTCTCAACGAAAAAAACTTCAGTGAATCTGTGTGATTCTGTTATGTGGGGGGTTTGGGGGAAATTTTCTTTGGTGGGTTTTTTTTTTCTTTTGGTGTTTTTGCGTGTTTGGGTTTTGTTGGTTTTGGTTTTTTTTTTTTTTTTTTTTTTTTTGTGAGTTTGTTTCTATTTTTTGGGGTTGTTTTCTTTCTTTTCTTATTGAGTAGATTTTTTGGGGTTGTTTTCTTTCTTTTCTTATTGAGTAGATTGTAGCAAAGATAATGGCCTAGCTTCTTTAGAAAAAAAGATATGCCTTTAGTTTTAATAAACATAGTGCTTTTGTCTTGTCTGCTTCTGTTGCAGCTCTGGTTAGTTTTGCAGTGATTTTCCATGGATATGYCATTCAAGAGAATGAAATTTAAGCAGGATGTGGGTTTTGTCACTTTGATGGTGATGCAGTTTCCCAGATGTAAGTTTTTCATTAAGAAATTAATACTGGCAGATTGGGTATCACAGTAAAYCGAACAAGCTCGAGTATGCGGTGGGACCACATAATTTCGAGTGGTGATGTTCAAGTTCCCCTCTCTCCCCACACAGTGAAGTCTGGGGTTGATTTACATAAATTCTTAGGTTTCTAACAGCAACACCCTGTAAGCTGAACTATCCCTTATGCTTTTGGCTCYGTTTCTGAAGGGGTTTCCATCACTGAACCAGGATAGCTCAATGAATCAACATCTGATGTCTAGTATCTGATAGAGGGAAAGGTTTCTGATAATATATGTGGCTACATTTAAATCTGTGGCAATAAGATGGATGAAGATTAATGTTCAGCTGAAACAGGTCTAGCCTGAGATCCTCTTCACCTAATGCTTGGACTRGACTTACTAACACAACTTGATTTTATCTATGAAATACAACTTTCCCTAATTAAAGAAGCTCTGTGTGCTAAACTAGATGCACCAACACAGCCTTCTCCTAGGCCAGTTGTCCASAGCAGTTTAAATCACAAGCTTTTAAGAAAGGGAATACTGAGGTAACTTCCAATCAAGGAAAGGATTTGATTTCTTCAGCAAAACAGTTTTCTCAGGGAAAAAAAAAATTAATAGCCAGTTTCCTTGAATGAAAGAATGAATGCTTTTCTTCCTTGATGTTAGAATAGTAATAGCTGTGCAAGGAAYACTGGAACATTCTTTCATAATGACTATTTATTTCTGTGGGCTGTTGATCTAGTAGTTAGAGGCTTCCTGTAAATCAATTACATTAATGTGGATATTTTGGGGACATGTATTTTAAAAAAAGTTTATTTAAAATAATAGGAGCAAACATGCACTTCTCACTTGGTTAGTCACCAGTGCCTTCTTGGTTCTTTTTCCTTTGCTTCTTTTCAGATTAACTCCACTGCTTATTCCTCTGAAAAAAAAAAAAAAAGGCTGAAAGTGGAGAGCAGGCAGCTAGGTCTAAAATAATTAAAGAAAACATCACTGAAGAGGGAAGTTTAGCTTCATCAAAATGCAAGTGGCCCTGCTCTGTTATCTGTCCAACTCCACTCTATGAATTATTTACCTTTTTGTAAAGCAAGTGCTGCGCTGCCACAGTCATAGTAGAATATTTTAGTGGCATGAGAATAACTTTGAGAGTAAYTCAGTCTGCATGGGTGGTGGGTGTCAGCACCTCTGCAGGGCCAGCCTGAGCTGTGCTTCCACATCAAAAACCTCATCGATGTTCAGGCTAATGGAGGTGACCAAATATGAYGCCAGCTTTAGTTAAAAAAAATTCTAATTTCATTTGGCTTTTTCAGAGGTGCATTTTATGGCTAGATTTTTTTTTTACTGTAGCACTTGTCAATAAGAAATTGGCAAACATGTACAATTGAGTTTCAGAAGGTTTTTTACTTCTTAAATTTGACTCTAAGCAAGTTTCTGATTTACRTAAGTATCAAAAAGAAGTGTCTTCTAACAACTAACATGTTATTTTTTTTCCTATAAGGAATCCTATTAATATTTCAATTTTTACAGATTTACCATAGTGAAAAGATGCAATGCTAAAATATGCAAGGAAGTCTTTTTCTGTAACTTTAAAATTGACAGTGAAAAACTACCATAATCTTAAAGTATGTATTTTGTATTTTGGTAAGGATTGTTGCAGGTTTTCTCTTCCAGTTGAAAAATAATTTTTCTTTATCTAGTTTTCAAAGAGTCTAGAGTATTGGAAACTGTTCCRTTTTTTTCTATTTATATATTACAAGAAATATTATCTTAATTATTAAAAGTATAACTTTATATGGCATCTCTTTTTTTCAGATACATGAATTTTGTTTATTTTTCTCTTTTCATTTTTCTTCCTTTACTTTTTTTGGGGTAGTTGTTTGCTCTAAGAGGGTTTTTTGAGCTTCCTAAAAACATTTCTTCCACGCTTTTTCCTACGTACCGAACAATTGTCAATAGTTTCCTAGAAACATTGCTGTCCCAATGCTTTTCCTGTGCTAATTGCTGAGTTTGGCCATTTAAGCTCAAGATATGTAAATCTAACATTATTTAGTGTGAGGGTGACCAACTTTTCCTTCCAGTCCTGAGTCTCCTACTGAACTTCGCTTGGTGTGGCCAATTATCTTCATAAGTGAGATCCACACTTGGTTTTGAATAGCTGAACTCATCTTGAAATCCGGGACTGAGGAGTTTTTCCTAATAAGAAAGAGGTATTTTTGTATAAACTGTATATTCTTGAGGGAATGCAAACTGTTTTTTTGAGCACGAGCACATGTAGGGAGAAGCAATGTCCTGTRCAAAGGACCCCCACTGCCTGACCTGCCCTTCTCCCAAGTCCAAAAAGGAAAGAAAAGTTTGTGGAATTTATACACCCTGTGGAGTTTCAAGTCCGTTGATAAAGTAAAGAAGAAATAAAAGCAAAGCCTGCGCAATTTTGAGTYATCTGCTCATGGACTATAAATCTACAGCAGTCTATTTATCACTTCCACTGAGGCTACAGCAACTCAAACGGGCAAGAG